CGCTCGGGCCCGCAGGGCTGTGGTCTACCTGCAGTGCTGCTACCGGCGCATGCAGGCCCGCAGGGAGCTGAGGCGCCTCCGCATCGAGGCCAAGTCGGTGGAACACTACAAGCAACTCAGCAAAGGCATGGAGATCAAAGTGGTGCAGCTGCAGTGCAAAGTGGATGAGCAGGTGGGTGGGTCGGCCCCTCCTGCTGCCCCAGAGCGGCCCGCAGGGCTGTGGTCTACCTGCAGTGCTGCTACCGGCGCATGCAGGCCCGCAGGGAGCTGAGGCGCCTCCGCATCGAGGCCAAGTCGGTGGAACACTACAAGCAACTCAGCAAAGGCATGGAGATCAAAGTGGTGCAGCTGCAGTGCAAAGTGGATGAGCAGGTGGGTGGGTCGGCCCCTCCTGCTGCCCCAGAGCTACGCGGGAATTCAGACTGCCATGGGGTGCTTGAGAGTCCTGGGTAGCTGCATTCTGCCTTAAGCTCCCCTAGCGTTCTGCTCTGGGTAATCGCCGCCTCCTCTGTTCCTGTGAGCTGTTACGCAGTAGCCATGCTCCACTCCAGAGGTGGCCGCATTCCACTCCCTTAATGATAGGGTCGGATCTCTGTGGGCGCATGTACGCTGTGCCGAGAAGGTGCCTGGGGGGAAGCTCCTCTAACCTCAGGCTTGCTTGGCCCTAGCAGTGTCCGACTCGCTCCTAGTCCGTGGGGACTTGGCTCTGGCTTTCCTGGTGGCGCAGGATCCTGGACCCTGCTTTTCCTACTCCAGTCCCATCTTGGGCATTGAATGGGAGGGGGCCCTGAGTGGCTCTAGAGGGTGCCACATGCTCATGCCCCTGTGTGGAACCTCTCCTCCCCACCCCACTCCTGCACTACGGAGCAGCTGCTCAGGGGTGACGGGGGCATTTGGGGCCACCGCATTTACCAATTTAAAATGTTGGTGAGGCTATGGGGCAGCTGGGAGCCCCCGCTGCAGATGCTGCTTGTAAGCGCTGCCTCCGTCTGCGCCCTCCCCCGCCTGCAGCCTCTCTGGCTTGGCTCGTGCCCTGCACGCCGTGTTCTGTCGCTGAATATTTCCCAGTGGGCGTGGTTGGCGCTGCCATCTGTCTCTGCCTTTCGATTAAAGGGACTTCACATCAATCCTACACCCCCATGGCCTCCGGCCTACGTGGGCTGGGCTGGGTGGGTGAGCGTGCTCTGGCCTAGATACATCCAGCACCTCTGCCACAAGCTGCTGCAGGGAAGCTCAG